GCTGTATCTTTCTTTTATTCACGGTAACAAGCCAGGTATATAATTATTTCTATACTTTCTGTGTTATATGTAACGTAGACACGTAGTATAACTACTTTATTTATTCATATAGGAGAGCATATGTAGTCAGAATAATCGGTAAAAAACATGACGGAATATTATAATCGTTTATTGTCTAATTTGTTAATTGTGTGGATGGGTTTATGAACTCATTTTTTGTTGGTTTTCATTATGACATAAGTTCACTTCTAATACTCCGTAATTCTTATTTTACTGTCCAATTTTATACTCCAGTTCCTTATTATCATTTCTAGATTGAATGGAAGTTTGTCATTTTAATAATGATACACCCTTCTTTATTTTCCTTTTGTCTCTTATTTCTCTCTCACACCACAGTTCACAAAACTACCCTTTTCACCGTTTTATTTCATTGCACCTTTCTTCTTCCCTTTTCACTTCACTATTTCTCGTGTAAAACAAACAATGTCTCAAGTCCAGTTAAAGCTTGAGAGAGGGAGAGGCTGACCTGCTCTTTTTTCTTCTCTGTCAAAGCTGCATCTTCATCTTCTAGTGGTTTGGCAAACATATAATATACTGGAGGTTGTGCTTCTGTTCTGAAAGAATCAGTAAAAGAAAAAAGAGATTATAGTTATGAAACCTTTACAAGAAAGTCTGTATCACCTCAAAATTCATGCAAAGCCGGGCATTGCACGTTTTTTAGCTGCTTCAACATTTCTGCTATGAATGGAAACTTATCTTTGATCAATAAAATTGTGAATATTCACACTTTTGGACCAAAATTAGAAATAACCTGCAAAACGAACAGAGTAATGAACTATGAGTATCAAGAATGACGCAAGCTTTATAAACTTATGCAAGTAAACAAATTTAAGATGAATGGTTTTAATACAATAATCATGAAATTGTAAGATAACCTTATAAAATTGCCTAGTCTTTTCTTATGCTCACTCCACTTGAGAAACAGCAACTCCATCCTCTTCTCCTCAGCTTTGGCAGCAATTCGTGCTCTAAGAGTCTTAATGGACAAACAAAAGACATCCAATTAAAACTGTGAACCACTCATTTTTCATCTGGCAAGAAACGTAACTAGAGATAAACCATAATGTTTAATTAATAATCACAAACCAGGTCCCTTTTTCGTTTTTCCACAATCAGCTCTCGCTGCTGTTGTCTTAATCTGTCACTTTCTTCACGTGCTTTTTGCTCAGCCTACATGCATAATTTTTACGCCACTCATTAAGTAACACAACACACAGCTTGACAGCTTACTAGGAGTCAAACTACTGCAATGAACACCAAGGCCTAATTGGGGATTGTGGTTGTGCTTGATAAAAGCTCATTATTAGAAAAGAACTTGCAAGAATAGTGTGGGATAAATTTTGAAAGTTAGAACTTATAAGTGTCCAGAATTGAGGTTGAATCTATGTAAACAAAATGTCAAAAGGTGAAATATTTTAATCTCAAATGCAGTTCTCAATTCACACTTTTGCGATAAGGTAACCTGTTGTTCCAAATCAGATTTTGGACAAAACAATAACTTGTTTAAGTTTGGGTTTGTGCTATGGCAAAATGAACTATTTCCACCTCAACACAATCCCAAAAAAGCCTAATGTTTCATGGCACACTTTGGACCTTGCAAATTTGAGTCTCATACTGCAGTGTCGGGTTGGTAATATATCACCAGCTGATATATAAACTGAAAGCTCAAAGGCACAGAAACTATTACATAATGTTCATAGAGGGAGTATAAACTCACCCTTCGTAGAGAATCTGACCTCCGCATATATGCTTCGGACCCAGAACGCTGCACATCTTCTTTTCTGAATTTCTGAACATATCCCATGCAATTTAGGTACCAACAGATTAAAATTGATTCCGCATTACTCTTTAAATGTAGCGTGGGTGTAAAAGATAACAAAGTGTGTCTGATTATTTAAGACGTACATAAATTTCTTTCAGCTTGCCCATTTCATTAGGGGAGACATAAAAAATGAGTTTGGTAGTACTGCATACCTCTAAAGTGCCTAGAAGCTGACCGAGCATTCTCTTGTTTCTACTAACCAATTTAGGATCTTCATCTTTTGGAAACACTCTAGGAACATGCTCTTCTGGAGGTATATCAGAGACCTAATAATCACATGATAAGGAACAAAAAAATGGGTTCACTAATTTAGTTTGCAAACATAATTACATGATTCAAAGTAAAAGTATAACTGTATAAGTCTTACCCTCTTGAAAGGCCTTTGACTCTCATCTCTTCTATTCCAGTTTGTTGGTATGCTCTGACCTTGCATTGCAATTCCTTTCCCTGGGCTATCCTCAAAAATAGATTCTTTCTTTATTTCTTTTGGAGCTTGAGGCGCATCATCCACAATCTCACCATCTTCAATCTTCAACCCAATCCCAACTTATTAAACAAAATAATGCTACTTTTAATGCTAGCAATAAAAAGGGTCACAGGTTTTACAGCTCACCTTCACAACTGTAGATAATAATCTCCTTTTTGGCATAGGCTGGTCCTCGGCATCATTCCCTTCGGCCTAGCAGAGACATAATCATGAGCATCAAGCAAGAAGATCGATTTCAAAGAAGTGCACACATATATGTAAACGGGTATTACCGGTCTGACAAGGCCACGCTGGCGGCCGCCGTTGGCGATGAAATTCCGAGGACCAGAGCCAGTAAAACCACCACGGCGAATGCCTCTTGGATCGCGAAGCCTCTCCGTTATCTGAGAACAAAAAAACGTCCGTCGTACATAGAGAGACATAATCACAGACCCAAACCAGATGTATAGATGATATGGATAGAGATAATGATACCTCGCGACGTTGACGATTGAGTTCTTCGATTTCCTTCCGCAGCTCCTCCTCCGTCTTCTCCGCAGGGGCGCTGGCCATGGCTATGAACTACACTCCACCCTGCGAGTCTCCACAGTTGCCAAAGAAAAACCCTTGTGTTGCAGGTAAAGTCATTAGTGTGCCCTTGGTTTAGACTTTTAGTAGGAGGTAAACTAGACTTAATCAATAAGATGCTCAAAAAATTTCATCTAGAAATTTTATCTGAAACTGTCTCAAATGGGGACGGCCGGACAAAGCCTCATAGATAAGGGTTTATTTGACCTTTTTATTTAATTCGAGAGTCTAGTAAAATTTCTAGTTAGATATAAAATTCTCATACTAATTAAGCATTAATGTAACTATAATATAGTAAAACTTCAAAATAAAAAATATAAAAAAAAAACTTTTAGTTAATAAAATGTTAACCACAAATCTATAAATTAAACAGAACAAAACCACCTAAAATAAAGAATGTTAATCATCATTCATAAACTAAAAAAATAGCACTATAAAGTCATAACAAATTAAACTACTTATTCCACATATTTGTCTATGAAAACAATTTCAAGCTTATTAAACTTCACAGTATAAGAAAAATTAAGATTATATTAAATGAATATGCACACTTCATTAAGTAACAGTCTTTATTTACAAAAACATATTGAAGAAAAAAACTTGATGCATTTGAATTAAAGAATTGGGGAAAAGATTAATGAGTTTATATGAACTTGGAAGCTCTTTTTAATTGACATACAAGTTTCTTTAATTGAGTGTCATTCTAGGCATAAGAAAATGAAGAGCTTTCGGGTGTTATTAGTATATCATATTAAAATAATATTTTAAAACGGTTCAATTCGGATACCCATTTTTTTCAAATTTTAAGACTCGTTCAGTTCCTAAGTTTTTAAGGACCCGCCCCGACCCGAATCGTTTGGATTTTCTAAAATTAGGATCCGACCCTAACACGCCCCGAACCTATATTACCCGCCCGACCCACGGTTCCTATATCCGTTTGCCCACCCCTACCTTCTAAACAATTCGTCCAAGCCTTTTTGTGAAATTAGTGTGGTTTGGATCCCTTTTGCATCCAATTTGTTCAAAAAAATTGCTACAATTACATACACTTACAAAAATTCTTATAAAAGAGATATATGTGGTTAACATATATTGTTTAATATTACGGAGCATATTACATAATCGCATCGCTTCCTATTGTGTTTTTTATAAGTTTGTTTGCACTTTACCGTAGAATGTTTTTTTAAGAGAAATTTTATTAATGAAGAAAAAGGAGTACAATGCGAAAAAGAAAGGAAAGTAGGAGAAATGAAAAAACAAAGAGAAAAGGAAAATGAAGGAAAGTGAAATCTAATCTAAGCCCAAGGAAAATTCTTAGTTTGTGATCTAGTCCGCATGTTATATCTCCGTTTATTCTTCTGGGATTTGCGGTAGATTTTAAGTTGCGTATTGAGATTTTCCGTTGGCAAACAAGTGTCTTGTGTGATAAACTGTGATCTGAAGCAAATCTCTTTGTTGAAGGTTGAGGCTCGAATGTCGTCCCGATTGGAAATTGGTGGTCGACGATCACTTTCGGTTGCATGCCCTAGGAAGTCATCAGAGAAGCATGACTCATCTGATGGATCAAAACTGTCTGAGGCATCTGAGTAAGCCTGTGTCAGTGATATCTTGGGATATATTTCTGAAGATCGAAACGGTTGTTTCTCCGTATAGGCTCTTTACCGTAGAATGTCCTAGGTGATAAAAATTGTTATCATCTCACACTTTTTCAATGAATATAACATACTCCACAGTATATACTCAATAATCTCAATTAAGATAAATTTGAACATGTGAACTTCACTTTGTTAGTAACGGCGATGTCTGTCGTAATCGTCACTTGGCTTTAAGTTGCTCAATTTTGGTCTAGCGAGTTATACTGCTGTGAAACAAATTTTAAGTATTTACTTAAAATTGATCGCAAATAATAATATGTGAGAATATCGGGTACAATCTCTAAATATGAATCCTCTGATTCTTCACTTGCAATTTGATATGAATATAATTAAAGAATTTAATTTAAAATTAAATCTCTAATTCTTCAAAAACTCGAACGTTCTTCGATTCTTTGAATCTTCGTTCTTGAGATCTTCGAATCTTCGAACTACGTTCTTCAGATCTTCAAATCTTCTTGAATGCAAAATTCAATATTGAAGGGCCTCCGGTTTCAAGTAGCTTGATCTTCAACAAAAGGGCCGTTATGTGGCTTGATCTTCTGTTAAAGGGCTTCCCGGGATATATGGCTTAATCTTCAATTGAATATTGATTCAATCTTCATATGAATATCTTCAAATCTTCAAAAATTCGTTCTTCATATCTTCGAATCTTCAAAGCTTCGTTCTTCAGATCTTCGAATCTCCAAGCTTCGTTCTTCAGATCTTCGAACGTTCTTCAACTTTTGGCTTTGTTTGATCAAGAATCGATGAAATCACAAAGGATTATTCATATATTCTTGACAAAAACGTGGCTTGATCTCTTCCTCTTCTTCGGAATCCTTCAGAGCCTTTCGGGAGTTCTTCAGAGCTTTGCTGCAGCGTTTCTTCGTCTGGAAGTTCTCCTTCCTTTCTCTCTGTGCGGTCCTCATCACAATATGGAAAGAAGCCATGCATAACGGACATATTGCATAATATATTTACCTTATTTGTTGTGTAATTATTGTATTTATATTCCTTCCTAGATTAGTGTGTGCGTTAGTGGACCATGATTAATTCATGAGATCCTTACCTTTTTCTGACATGTATTAAGGTGTATATATTTGACCCTTTCTTTGTACGAAGAAGCAAGACAATAATACGAAAAACAATTTCATTCTCAATTGTTTATCACGTTCCTTTTCTCATGGTATCAGAGCCATACGTTCTCTGAGACCTGCGCTTTTGCTGTGCGACGAAACAAATGGGTGAGCCTATCACCAAGACAACCAACGACGGAACTATGGACGACGGCAACAATTCTGTTCCTAAGCAATATAGGCGCAGAATAAATGATCCGGCATCCCCGTTTTATTTACCGACCAATGACATCCCAGGCGTGAATATCTGCGGCATAACGCTTAAAGGGGACGGGAATTATCGGGAATGGTCAACCGCCATGCGCAATGCCTTTAGAGCGAAGAGGAAGCTTCCTTTTCTTGACGGGACGATTGAGATACCGGCCGATGAACACGGGCCGGACGACTGGCTGTGTGTGAACTCCATGTTGGTTGGATGGTTGATGACGTCCATCGATGCCTCTCTACGAACGACCATCGCTTACATGGACTCTGCTCATGATCTATGGGAGGATCTCAAACTCCGCTTCGAGGTGGCTGATGGCGTACGTTTTCACGAACTGAAAGAAGCCATTCAATCATGCCGACAAGGAGACCAAACGGTGACGGAATATTTTGGCCGCCTGAGAATGCTTTGGGATGACTTTGATGGGTATCGTACGATACCCAAGTGTAAGTGTGGAGGATGCAAATGTGATTTGGAGAAACAATTTCTGGCGGCAGTGGAGAAAGAAAAGGTGCATGAATTCTTGATGGGTTTGAACGGTGCTACGTTTGGCGGACTTCGGTCTAACATTCTTAGCGAAACCAAACTGCCATCTCTCAGCCGAGTGTATCATATGATCATACAAGAAGAGTGACACAAGAATGTGACGAGGATGCATGACGCCAAAACCGAGGTTGCCGCCTTTGCCGTTCGGTTTGATGACCGGAGGAAGCCCAACAAAGAAAAGATGTTTTGTTCCTTTTGTAAAAAGGACGGACATGAAAGAAATAATTGTTTTAAGCTAACCGGCGAGTATCCCGAATGGTGGTTCGCTAACAAAGAAGGGAAGGGACGTGGAAAGCCTCCTGGACCTATGACTGGGCGTGACAAAAACGGTGGTGCAAAGGGAGCACGTGCGCATGCTGTTTTGCATGAAGAAGCGCCGGCAGAAGAAATCAAAAATGACAAACCGGATTTTGCTTCCCTGGCAGATCAATGGGCATCATTCTTTGCATTTATGAACAATTCCAAAAAGACAGGTGACTCGGTTGAAAAACTATCAGGTACAGAAAATATGGACTCTTGGCTTCTTGATACAGGAGCTTCCTATCATATGACTGGGGATTATTCTCTATTATTTAATTTACAGAAAATTTCTTCCTCTCTAGTTATTCTACCAAATGGGGAGAAAACCGAGGTAGGTGTATTTTTGGGACCGGAATTGAAATTAAAAGATGTCCTCTACGTACCTAAACTTATGTGTAATCTTATCTCGGTAGGAAAGCTTATTGAACAATTGTCATGTCATGTGCTATTTAGTGACAGGTTTTGTGTGATACAGGACCACACTTTGAAGACGCGGATTGGAGTGGGTGAACGTCGGGGTGGGGTCTATTATTTGTGTGGAACTGGGAGCGCACGTGCTTCACATGTGGGAAGCTTGGATGAAATTAATTTGTGGCATCAACGATTGGGTCATCCGTCCCTCAGAGTGGTTCGTTTGCTTCCGATTTCGTTCAAGAATTCTAGTTCTTTTAATAATACGAATAAGACTTGTGATGTTTGCATGAAAGCCAAACAAACGAGAGACTCTTTCCCTAATAGTTTAAATCGTGCTTTAAATAAATTTGAGTTAATTCACTGTGATGTTTGGGGACCCTATCGTGAATCTAGTACATGTGGATCACATTATTTTCTGACCATTGTTGATGATTATTCTCGGGCGGTTTGGGTGCATTTAATGTCCGAGAAAAGTGAAGTTCCACAGATTATTATGCGATTTTTCTCTATGGTTCGAACTCAGTTTAATACAACAGTTAAAATTGTAAGGGCCGATAACGGTACAGAATTTTTTCCGTTACGACCTTATTTTCAAGATGCGGGCATTTTATTTCAAACTTCGTGTGTTGGTACACCCCAACAAAATGGTCGGGTTGAACGCAAGCATCGACATATTCTTAATGTTGCCCGAGCTCTTCGTTTTCAAGCCAATTTACCAATCAAATTTTGGGGAGAGTGTGTTTTGGCGGCATCCTATTTAATTAATCGCACTCCGTCTATTTTGAATCATGAAAAATCGCCCTATGAAATGTTGTATGGTACTCAGCCCTCATATGATCACATTCATACGTTTGGGTGTCTGTGTTACGTTGCTTCCCGATCCAGAGACAAATTTCATCATCGTGGTCGTGCGTGCCTATTTTTGGGTTATTCTTACACGCAACGTGGGTGGAAAGTAATGGACCTGGAAACCGAGGCTCATTTTATTTCCCGAGATGTTCACTTTGTGGAGGATATTTTTCCTTTTCTGGCCAAGTCAACTTCAGCCCGTGATGTGCATCCTTCCCTATCTCTTTCTGATTTGCGGCTGATGTATAGGGAGGATGAACTCCATAATGATGCTGCCATGCATAACTCATGTGTGCCATCTGTCCCTGCTCATCATCAAGAGGAGGTCCCACATGCTTCCTCAAATGTTCAGCCATTTTCTCCTCCAGAAGAGTCGGACATACCCAGCGAAAATTCACTGCTACATATGACATCCGAAATCCACTTACCAGAAGGTCCCACGTCACCAGCTCCTCTTGGTCGTGGGCATCGACGCAAGGCTCCATCTGTTCGCTTACGTGACTACGTGCAACTTCATGCAGCCCATGCTCACCCCCCCGGCGTCTCCCGTCCTTCCCCGTCTTCAGGTAGTCCCTATCCGCTTACTTGTTATGTAAATTATGACAAATTTTCTTTGCACCACCGGGCTTTCCTTGCAGCTATTTCTCATGAAAAGGAACCATCTTCTTATAAAGAAGCGGTGCGGGACCCGCGATGGCGCCAAGCAATGCAACTTGAGATTGATGCTCTTGAACGAAATGGTACGTGGACGCTAGTTGATACTCCCACTCCCAAACGGCCAATTCATTGTAAGTGGGTTTACCGCATAAAATATAATAGCTCTGGATCTGTTGAACGGTTCAAAGCGCGGCTCGTAATTTGTGGCAATCGGCAAATTGAGGGAATCGATTATCATGAGACATTTGCTCCCGTTGCCAAAATGACCACTGTTCGTACTCTTCTTGCCGTTGCCGCATCTAAACATTGGCAACTCCATCAAATGGATGTTGACAATGCTTTTCTTCATGGTTCTCTTGATGAGGAGGTTTATATGTATTTGCCTCCTGGATTTTTGAGCTCTCGTCCCAACCAAGTTTGCCGCCTCCATCGCTCTCTCTATGGACTTCGTCAAGCTCCCCGGTGTTGGTTTAATAAACTTAGCACTTCCTTGATTACCTATGGTTTTCAGCGTTCATATGCAGATTATTCTTTATTCACGTTATCTAAAAATGGTCATTTTTTGTGTGTGCTCGTTTATGTTGATGACCTTCTTATTGCTGGTTCCCATGCACTAGACATTGATCATCTAAAGGCTTATTTAGCTAAATGCTTTCCGATCAAGGACCTTGGGCGTCTTAAATATTTTTTGGGGATAGAAGTGGCTCGAAATGATTCTGGTATCTTTCTTTGTCAGCGCAAATATTCCCTGGATATTCTCGATGAACTTGGATTGACGGACGCACGACCTTCTCCTTTTCCTATGGAACAAAATCAGAAGCTCTCACTCTCTCAAAGTCCACTTTTATCATCGCCAGAGCAATATCGCCGTTTAATCGGGAAACTTATCTACTTGACACTCACTCGTCCGGAGCTTAGTTACTCAGTTCACATTTTGGCCCAATTTATGCAAACACCGAGGACTGATCACTGGGATGCAGCTATCCGGGTACTTCGGTATTTGAAAGGTAATCCGGGACAGGGTATTCTTCTTAGCACTCGCTCTAGCATCTCTTTGCGTGGATTTTGTGACTCCGATTGGGCCGCTTGCCCCTTGACTCGTCGGTCATTAACTGGTTATATTGTGATGCTTGGTGATTCCCCTATCTCCTGGAAAACAAAGAAGCAACTAACCGTGTCTCGTTCCTCCGCCGAGGCTGAGTACCGTTCCATGGCCACCTTGGGTTGTGAATTATTATGGCTTCGCAGCTTACTGTCTTCTCTTGGCATTACTCTCTCTCAGCCAATGGACATTTTCTGTGACAACAAAGCTGCTCTTCATATTGCCTCAAATCCGGTATTTCATGAACGCACGAAGCATATTGAAATTGACTGTCATTTTATTCATGATCTTCTTCAAAACGGTTCACTCCGTGCACATCATCTTTCTTCCTCTCATCAGTTAGCCGACATCTTCACTAAACCTCTGGGTGCTCAACAATTCTTGTTTCTTCTTCACAAGTTGGGCGTTCTTAATCCCTCCGCTCCAACTTGAGGGGGGGTGTGCGGTCCTCATCACAATATGGAAAGAAGCCATGCATAACGGACATATTGCATAATATATTTACCTTATTTGTTGTGTAATTATTGTATTTATATTCCTTCCTAGATTAGTGTGTGCGTTAGTGGACCATGATTAATTCATGAGATCCTTACCTTTTTCTGACATGTATTAAGGTGTATATATTTGACCCTTTGTACGAAGAAGCAAGACAATAATACGAAAAACAATTTCATTCTCAATTGTTTATCACGTTCCTTTTCTCACTCTCAAATGAGACCCCTATTTATAGGTGTGGAGGAGGTGAAAATATGGCCTAGGGTTGCTGAAATTCGTCCATACCTCATGGGCCATAATTAAAATGGGCTTTGGGCTCCATTTGCTTGCATTTTAATAGCTAAAAAAATCAGCACTTGTGCAACGTATCTGGACGGCTTTCTTAACAAGGTTCGGAGCTATCTCTCATGCATATGGACACATTTCTTAACCATATTCGTCTTCTCTATCAATTGGATCATACCTCTTATTCATTGAACCGCTATTTCATATTCCGTATTGGGCTCGAAATAGATAAATCAATAGGATCGGTCCATTTTGTTATAGACTCAACTTATAATTAAATTAATTGGATATTTTAAATGATCCAAATTAATTTAATCACTAAATTATATCCGAAAAGATCCATATTAATATATGCTTTTGATACGGCCCAACAACCATTACGAGCAGTCCAGTCGAATTGACGTTGGCTACAAATCATTCAAAAGAGGCCCAAAATGATTGAGAATAGCATGACAGATTTTTAAAGAGGTCCAATAAGCATCACAACTGGTCCAATAATTTTTATATGTCCACAAATGCCCCCTCGAGACTTGCTTGAATGTGTCAGACGAGTGAAAAGGAAGTCTCGACATACGTTGACAGAAATCACTTATATTGATTTAAGACGTGATCATCCCTGTAAGGCTTTTAACCAAGCAGGCCCAAAACTTTCAAAGTTTATGACCAAGAATTAAACTCACCCGGAAGTCTGTTTAAAGTTTACTCCGTATTATTTTGCAGAGCTGATCCAAATGATAAAATAGCTTTAAAGCACACGTAGCTTAAGAATGTGTCTGCTAGCCAATTAATTCAACCAATCGGCTCATTGAATCTAAGCCTTCTAAAATTTCTACAGAG